ACATGTACTGCGAGCGATCTGATAAATATGACTTAAACCAGCTTAGTGCGGTTCCTTTAATGCCAATTTGATGCTCAAGTCTCTGTAAAAGAATATTATGGTCAATGGTGTTAAATGCAGCACTAAGATCTAATAATACAAGTACAGAGACAAGTCCATTGTCAGAAGCAATCAGAAGGTCATTATTAACTTTAACCAGAGCTGTCTCTGTGCTGTGATGAACTCTAAATCCTGACTGAAAATCCTCAAATAAACTATTTTTAAGTAGAAAGTCACACAACTCTTTGGCGACTACTTTCTCCAGAATCTTAGAGAGGAAGGGGAGGTTAGAAATCGGTCTATAGTTGGCTAAAACCCCTGGGTCAAGAGTGGGCTTTTTAAGAAGGGGTTTAATTACAGCTACTTTAAAGGACTGTGGTACATATCCTGATAATAAAGAAAGATTAATCATATCCAGTAAAGAAGTGCCAATTAAGGGAACAACTTCTTTAAGCAGCCTAGTTGGGATCGGGTCTAATAGACAGGTTGATGGCTTCGATGAAGAAATGATTGAAGTTAACTGATGAAGATCGATAGCAGAAAAACAGTCTAAATATGTATCTAAGTTTACATTGGCAGAAGTCCCTGAACTTGGAGAGCCACTGATAACTGTTGATGGCAGTTGGTGATTAATTTTCTCTCTAATAGTAATAATTTAATATAGAAGAAGCTCATGAAGTCATTGCTACTTAAGGGGATATGTGGCTCAATAGAGCTGTGACTCTCTGTCAGCCTGGCTACAGTGCTGAAGAGGAACCTAGGGTTATTCTTATTTTCTTCTAGTAGTGCTGAGTAATAGGCTCCTCTGGCATTACGGAGGGCCTTTCTATAAGTTTTAAGATTATTATGCCAAATTTAGCGATATTCTGATAATTTGGAAGAGCGCCATTTCCTTTCAGATTTCCTAGCAATTTGTTTTAACTGGCGGGTTTGGTGGTTATACCACGGTGCTAGTCTCCTATGTTTTAATAATTTCCTTTTTATAGGAGAGATAGAGTCTAATGTTGATCGTAGTGAGCCTGTAGCACTATCGACAAGATTATCAATTTCAGAGGGACTAAAGTCGTTATAGGACTCTGTTAAATTCAGACATGGCATTGAATTAAAGGAATCTCCTCCTTAAATTTAGCTACAGCACTGTCAGATAGACATCTGCTGTAGGAAGTTTTGCCTAATGGGTTATAATCTAAAAGTATTCAATTCAATTCAATTCAATTTTATTTGTATAGCGCCAATTCATAACAGAAATTATCTCAGGACACTTTTCAAATAGAGCAGGTCTAGACCGAACTCTTTAACATTAATTACAGAGAACCAACAGTACCACCATGAGCAAGCACTTGGCGACAAGGGCAAGGAAAAACTGCCTGTTAAAAGGCAGAAACCTAGGACAGATCCTCCGGCTCTAGGTGGGTGGTCGTCTGTCTCGACCAGTTGGGGTGAGTATGAATTCAAAAGTTATTAAATAATGGTCAGATAGGAAAGGATTATGTGGGAAGACTGTTAAATGTTCAATATCAATGCCATATGATAGAACAAGGTCAAGAGTATGATTAAAACAATGAGTTGGTTTATTTACACTCTGACAGAAGCCAATTGAGTCTATTAATGATATAAATGCGTTATTAAGGCTGTCATTGTTAACATCCACATGAATATTAAAATCACCTACAATAATTACTTTATCTGATTTAAGGACTAAACTTGATAAAAACTCTGAGAATTCAGATATAAAATCAGAGTACGGTCCAGGAGCGCGGTACACTATAACAAATAGAACTGGCTGCAGTGTTTTCCAGTTTGGGTGAGAAAGACTAAGAACAAGGCTTTCAAATGAATTATAATTTAGTTTAGGTTTAGGGTCCATTAAAACGCTCGAATCATATATGGCTGCTACTCCACCTCCTCGGCCAGTGCCTCGAGGAATGTGAGTATTAATATGACTGGGGGGTGGATTCATTTAGGCTAACATACTCCTCGTGGGACAACCAGGTCTCAGTAAGACAAAGTAAATCAATATCATAATCTGATATTAATTCATTCACTAAAACAGCTTTAGAGGACAGAGACCTGATATTTAACAGTCCACATTTCATTCTCTTATTTTGTGCTACTGAGGAGTTGGTTTTAATTTTTATTAGATTTTTATGTTGAACTCCTCTTCTTTTTATTTCTTTAAATAATTTAGGTGGTCGGGGGACAGACACAGTCTCTATGGGGTTTTGGGTGGGGGACTGTTCTAAAGAAAGCGCAGAGAAGTGTGTAAGACAGCAGCTCTGCTTCCTGGTCCCAACTCTGGACTGTCAGGTTTTAGAAATAAACTTCGCCATATTTCTAGATAAGAGAGCCGCTCCATCCAAAGTGGGATGGATGCCGTCTCTCCTAATCAGACCAGGTTTTCCCCAAAAAGGCTTCCAGTTATCAATTAAGCCCACATCATTTGCTGGACACCACCTCGACAGCCAGCGGTGGAATGACGACATGCGGCTATACATGTCATCACTGGTCACATTGGGCAGGGGTCCAGAGAAAACTACGGAGTCCGACATAGTTTTAGCATACTTACACACCGACTCCACATTAATCTTAGTGACCTCCGATTGGCGTAAACGGGTGTCATTACCGCCGATGTGGATAACAATCTTACTGTATTTACGTTTATCTTTAGCCAGCAGTTTTAAATAGGATTCAATGTCGCCCGCTCTGGCCCCAGGGATACATTTAACTATGGCCGCTGGCTTCGCTAACTTCACGTTTCTGACTATGGACCTGCCAATAACCAGAGTTGGTTCCTCAGCGGGTGTGTCGCTGAGTGGGGAAAATGTATTGGAAACGTGAATGGGTTGGTGGTGAACTGTGGGTTTCGGCGTTTTAGTCTTCCTTCGCTCAGTCACCCAGCCTCCCTGTCTTCCCGGCTGCTCGGGAACTACCGGGGGAACTACCGGAGAACGGCTAACAGAAGCTACCTTCGGTCGGACCGCACCGGCTACTGGGGGCTGGCTAACTATAGCGGCTAAAGATATCTCCGTGGTGCGGTACCGTTCCTCTAACTCACTAAGCCTCGCCTCCAGCCTCGCCTCCAGCGCAGTAAATAAACTACATTTAATACATGTACCATTATCATTAAAGGAGGCAGAGGAATAACTGAACATCTGACACACTGAGCAGGACAGAGGAGAGGGAGAGGGAGAAGCCATTGCTAACTGCTAATGTTACTGAAGCTAGCGTGTATGAAAAACTTTGAAAATAGCGAAAAGTCGCTAAAAGAAGGAGTAACCCCGAGTGCTTAGGTAGAACTAGTCTACATTTAAATGTTAAGCGGGAAAATAACTGCTGTACCAAGTAAAACAAATTTAGATTTAGCGTTCACTGACAGAGCTACAGCACCAAACAGTGTACACAGAGAAGGAAGTAAACCGGAAATGAGTCAGTACGCTTACCGTAGCACGTAAATGCACGTAAAGCACGTAATGCCTTACACACTACCACACACGTGGAGAGGTAACTCAAACCTTGCGCTTCATATTTCCCAGTTTTTCCAGTTCCTTTGCCTCTGGAGCATTATGATGTAATTATAGCCAGGTTAATAAATCTACACACAGACTTTTGACCGCTTGTACATGGCCTAATAAACCAGAATGTGTGGGAAGGACAAGACCCAACAGCTGACCAGACAACATCTAAATGTGATTATCCGACTACCATCTATTCTTTTTGAAGCATTATAAAGTAACCGCTACACCCATTTAACAACAGATGCTCAGTTGTTACAGCCACTATATCAAATATTACTGACACATTGTGACTGTAATGGTAATGACACTAAAGGCCCACATACACTGTGTGATTCTGTCCCAGACTAAATGAGAGAAAATAGGTAACCATAACCCTGATGAAATATTTTGTTGTGATTGTAGATCTCACTGTGAGACATGTCCACTGATGACTAAATCAAATCAAAATTCTGACGAAGTCACTAATTTCGTATCAGTGCACATTTCAAATACATGACTTATTCACTCCTGTAATCTTTGTACTTGTCAAAAACATAAAAACAGCCGACAGTAATCCTTATCTTGTTATGCTGATTACTCATTATACAGCTCTGTTTAAAATAAAACAAGTTGGAAAAACAATCTCACAGCAACTAGCAGATCATCTGCACAGGCTACACACATGCAAAGCACACAAAGACAGTGTGCATTAAATGCTAAATTGATAGTAGGGACTGTCTACACACAGATATTATCTATAATAATAATTATGCAATTTATTTGTATAGCACTTTTCAGAACACAGTTACAAGTGCTTTACAGAACAAGATAAAGACGTGATAAAACAGTGTGCAATAAAAAGTAGGTAAGCTATGTAAAAAGCAAATTAGGAAGGAGGGATAGAAACTGGCTGTGGGAACAGTTAAGAGGGTCCCACCTGAGGAGCGCTGGCAGCAGCTAGGCTGAAGGCACGAGTAAATCTATAATGTAAGTAGGAGCAAGGCCATATAGGGCTTTAAAAGAAATTAGTAATATACCAGGTAGCCAGTTTCAACCCTTAGGTTAGATTCACAGTGCAAGCCTTAGCGCCCGATTTTTGCTTAGATCACATTTTGTTATGTTTGGCTGTGATTCACGGTCCTGAAGTGACCTGCATGACGAATGTAGATCTAAAAAAGTCACACGAATTCTGTGTGAAAACTGTTCACACTGAGGTCATATTGTAAAAAATCAGGCCTATAACCGTTTTGGACCACATCTGATAGTGTCCAAAATCGGAATGGAAATATCAGAGAAAACAAGTGTGTACACTACAAAATGTAACCTTCATAACGTCATCAAGAACACTGAGAATATCATATCTTTTGATTTTAAAGTGGAAGTTTAAATAGATAGATAGATAGATAGATAGATAGATAGATAGATAGATAGATAGATAGATAGATAGATAGATAGAGGATAGATTACCTGTCATTAATGAGTAGTAATTTGGATATGACAAACTCGGGAAGTCCGGAGTCATGTAGTCCACCTTCACCCCATTGTCCACGAGCTCGCGAAATCCGGGTAGTGCGTGCAGGTCATCCATGTAGTCATATCGGAACCCATCGATCAGGAACACGAGCAACGGATAGGCCGCGAGACACTGCTGCCCTGCCCCGAACAGCAGTATCAAGTGCGGGAAGAGATGCAGGGGGCACGCGGGTGTCTGTCTCAGGGACATGATGGTGTCGCCTCGTGCTGTGCTGTAGACGGACACAGTCGCGACCCGGTCGGGCGATGGCTCGCCCCAGCTGCAGCTGTCGGGGAATGATGTCACAGTTCTTCACACTGCGGTGGGTGGGATTACACACTGATTTGGAAATATCAGCAATTCAAAGCCCTGACAGTATTGGCCTCCATCTCACCCGATTTATAAATATATTAAATGCAGTCTAGTGTCACTACGATAGCAATTGAAATGATATTGTCCACCAAGTAAAAGCCCTGCATTAATTAGTATTATCAGCTAAAGTGACTATTAAAAGTAAGTTTCACAATTGAGACTGGCCTCTACGGAGTGTTTTTATTATGGAAAGCCCCTATATAGTTGGGTACTTTAATCCGTAACTATTTCATATCATGTTTCAAAAATAAAAACATTTCTTTAAAGTAAATAGTAGCACTACAATATTTTCCTCTGAAATGTTGTGGAGTATAAATTATTATCGGGTGGAAATATTTAAGTACAAGTACCTCAAATCTGTACTTAACAGTACTTGAGAAGCTAGTTAGTTACTTTCAACCCATTCGACAATCATGACTAACTACAAGGAAACAATAAAGAACTGTGTCCATTACTGATTTGCACATGTTCCCCCATGGAAATGAAATAAAACATGACGATTTTGCAACTGTACGGCCAATGCCAGACCACAGTGAGGGAAAGAGAAATAAATTGTGGTCTTTGCCAGGCTTAAGGGGTTATCCCCATAATTTCTTGCATTTGAAAAAGTAAAAAAAAGAAAGAGAGGTCAAATCAAATCAAATCTTTTCAAAACCCGTGTTTTGCTACTGTAGTAGTACTGATAACATGCATTTATTCATAAGGCATAGAGACCAATAAAAATGACATGTTTGAACTCTCCAGTGAGTGTGAGGGTGTGTATATTGTATATGTATATTGTATATTTGTGTTATTTACACTTAGAAGAAAGATAAAAAGATAAGAAGATATACTTTATTAATTTATTTAATTAAGTAATCCCCTAGGGGAAATTGTTCTTTTCACTCTCCCACACACACACAGGCTGAACTGCACACTTCATGCACTTGTGGACATGCAAACAGGGAGAGAGATGGTGGAGTGATGGGGCTGCAACATTAACAGCGCCCCATGAGCCCCATGAGTTAGGTTGCCTTGCTCAAGGGCACCTCAGAAGTGTACAGGAGGTGAAACTGACACCTCTCCAGTTACCAGTTCACACTCCATATTTTGTGGTCTGTGGGACTTGAACTAGCAACCCTCCAGTTCCCAAGCCAGGTCCCTACACACTGAGCTACTGCCGCCATTAATTACTTAAATTTGCTAGTTTTTGGCACTATGTTCCTGTACATAACAGCCTGTAGTTAAAGAACAAGTGTTTAGTGGCGCAACAAACATGCAGCTTCAACATGCTATTGCTTGCTTACTTGCTTGCACCATGTGTTCTGTCATGTATTGTGCAATAGCAGCACCTACTGGGTTATTTCAGTAATTTAAATTCTTGTGTGTGTTTTTATCAAAAACCTGTCCCCATGTCCAAATTCCAGACTAATAATACAGCATGTACAAGATATAAATTAAATAATGAATTAACATTCTTAAAGGGTAATTAATGACTGCTTCGACTTTTGATATTTTAAGCACTGCTAATGATATAATTTTGTACTTTTACTTATGTAAATGCAAGACTTTTAATGACCTGTAATGGGCTATTTTTAAATTGTGGCAATCAAACTACACAAAGAGATTTTTTTTAGCCACAGCTAATGTTTGAAATCCTAAAATGACCTCTGCTGAAGAAACTGGATAATAGTTCAGATAAAAGTTCAAATTACAGACAACATATAATCATGATAGATAGACATTGTTAGATTTTATGCCACAGTTTGTTCACTTCTGTACAAAACCAGAAGGTTTGTTCTTCTTTAAAGTGAAGATCTTCCATTTATCATGCAGCTTTTGCAGTGACTATTGTTTAGGTTGTTCCTTCAGCATCATGTTGTATATTGTGTCAATTTAAATAGAACATCCTCAAGGGAGCTGGCTCCAAATTATAGTGTAAATTGAAATTGAAGTAGGTTGTGAGGCTATATTTATCTAGGGTTCTGCTGTGTTATTAATTGTACGATCTGTATAAAACCCCTGTGAGGCATAATAATACAGTTTTGAACATTTAAGACCTCTGTTCTTGAATTTTCAGGAAGCTTTCTACACCTATATGCTTTATAAAACCAGATAAAAGAGGTGAGTAAAGCATTATCTCAGGTAAAAAAATATTTTGAAGGGATTAAAGACAAAGTTTGGAAAATAAAGAGAAATTTAGGCAACCATATCATTTTAAACAATTTATCCTAACAAATAAATTTATTGGCAGATCTGACAATTTATTAATGCTAATGTTGCTTCATTAAACAGAGAAAGAAAGTTAATTTTTGTTTTGTGCCTAAACTTAATCAAACATTAACCACAGTGGTGTAATATGAGGAAACAGTTGTTTAAGGCTGAATGCTTGACACTGTTGAAATGTAAACTATCTGAAGGCAGACTGCAAATACAGTATATTGTGTTCGCACTAAGCCATACTCTCTACAAGGTATCAGCTTGTCAAATAAGATTTTCTTTTTGCCTTACTCAGTTTCTTTCAGGACTCTTGGAGCAGGTAGTCATCCAGACTTACTCTGGCCCCTTTTCCACCAAATCAGTTCTGATTCTTAAACCAGTTCCGTTCAAGATACTTGGAACCATGGTGCTATCTAGCAAACCAGCCTGTGTTTCCACCAGTTGGAACCATAGTAATCGGATGCATCATCAGCAGAGGACACTGCAGAATGCACGACCTGTAGAATATGACATGTCCATTTTGTTTCCCAAGGGAAAACCGGCTATTTTCCAACTGAGAACCAACTTTTCAGGTTCCGAACTAATTTATTTTTAACTAGGTGCTGATCACTGTCAGCCCATACTGACACAACAAGTTGCAAATAATTGCTTGTTTAATTCTTTATCCAGCTTCTTAACTACATTTTTTTCTTCTAAATTGCATTGGACATTCTTCACAGTTTTCTGACATTTTAAAATAGAACAATTTAATATCACTAAATCAGAGAAAATAATTAATAGATTAAAATAGATTTATAAAAAGAAGTTGGTTGTTGCCCAAGTTATTATTACCTTTTCTTTACCCTTTCCATCCACAGTGTATTGGATGTGTTCCAGTCTGGTTTCAGATCTAATCATAGCTCTAAGACAGCCCTATCAGAGTAATCTTATAAACGGCGTTGGGCAGTGTCTCATAATTAGTAATAACATTACTTTCCCCAGTAACTAGTTGTGTAACGACGGTAATCATCAATACATTTCAGTATACTATCAATTCCAAATTTCAGTTGTGGGCAGAAAACGGGTTACGGAGCTTTTGGTCACACCACATCACATTCCTTAGCTGAAGCTGAATTGAATAGATTATTTTGTTAGGGCTTTTTGCCCTATTGGATAAAGGTAACAGCAACAGTTGAAGAGAGAAGGGTTGAACTATACTACTAAACCCTTACACTAGTGTATACTACTATGATCCCTCTGGGCAGGTTGGATGGTTAATCATAACTTTCATCATAGAGCCATGCAGTTGGTCCATGCAGTGGCCTACATGGGTGTAATAAGGTGTTTTAAACACTGATGAAGATGTGATTGGGTCCGAAATGTCTGTTTAAATAAATTTGTGGTAAAGTATCAGTGTGCAGGAGTTACCTTTCCATTTATGCTGTATTCCAAAAGCCTTGCACGGAAAGTTGTCAATATGAATTTGGGTGGATGGAAGATGGGTTCTATTTATCTGTTCTGCTCACCCTGTTTAAGCTGAGCCCTAGTGGCTTGCATCCTCATAAGGCAGTAAGGTTGATCACATTATGACACATAAACAGTTGTGTAACCAAACATTGTTATTTTATTATCTTAAAAAGTAACACAATCCCCATAGGGTATCACATACACTACAACAACGGTAACACCAGAACTACACATCAAAGGGACTTTTAGATATTATAGACATTTAAAAATCCCTCTTTTTATTGTTTAAATTATTTGACTAGGCATGACAGATAAACATCATTTACAGGTATGACATACCGTCACCATTAGAAACAATGTTATTCTTGAACCTTTTTATAAACCACCACCGATGTTAAGGGAAGACATTTCATGGACTGTCAGTGTAGAAAAGGGATGGAAGGTTACAGGACTTGTAGCTGGAGGGGAGTAAGGGTTAATGGAGGGCCACTGGGCCAGACAGTAGCAGAGAGGATTGGGGTGGGGGGCAGTGTAAACATCACACATGAGGAATGGAACCCATGACCTCCACCAGACAGGGGACTACTGCCCAATTTTACTTGTAGAACAGAGACAAGAACCACACTGTGGTTGTGGAACAAGAGCTAAAACCCCTGAACTGTTGTACAATAGAGATTAAACTCCACTGTAGGGACAAAAAATCAACTGTAGTGGTAAACCCAAGATCAGTGGTACAACAGAGACCGAAACTACTGTACTTGTAGGGGCAGGGCACCCTCTAAATGGTAAAGGTGGAACAGGGACTTGACTTGGACTTATTCCTGTCTGTGTCTTTCATAGAATAGGGAATAAGGCCAAACTACATGGGTACAACCGGCGCTACAAACCTTGGTAGAGGCATAATTGGGACTAGAACCCTACTGTAATGATGTATCAGAAACCTACTATTGGGTGAGATCAGAAACAAGAACCCTATTACAGATACAGAAAGGATGTACAGTATACCCCTAGAATATTGACAGAGGGAGGACTTGAAACCCTAATTAGTATTAGAACCCTGCTGACATTGTAGACTACTCGCTACAATCGTAGCAGTCAGAGAACAATGACTAGAATCTGTATTGTTGGTAGTGTCCCCAGGGGTTTTCTCCCTTGGATTTTAGTCCCTTGCACCCCTGGGACTAAAACACAAGTATAGCAGTAGAACAGACTAAATCTCTTGCAGTGTTAGAACAGAGATTAGAATCTTAAAATATTGACAGAGTGACCATATTAGCAGAACAGAAACATCAATCCATTACAGAGAGAATATAAACCAGTACTCTAGTATAGAGGGAGAAAGGGGTAAAGTCCTAGTATTCGCAGTTTGAAGCATACTGAACCCTTTATTGTGGTGGTAACACATAACGCTGGACCCTTGTGTAGTGGCAGGATGCAGTGTAGAACCGAATGCAGTGGTGGAATGAGAACTAAAACGTCAGGGAGTACTACTCTAGTGGTAAGTATAATACCTTTTTACATCATACCTGGAGCTATCTGACTAGTTCTTCAATGGAATCAAGGGAGTTTTCATCAAAGAAGTGTTTGTTACATTTGTTCTGAGCACATGACAGACTTCCATTGCAGGAGTTTGATTCCCTGTAGCAGTGCGTCTGGTTTGGTTGTGCATTCCAACAAACACAGTGTGTTTTCAGGTCGGAAGCCAATGAGGATTTTTGTTCTTGTCGCTACTCTAGTGATTTGTACTGGTCAGTTGTGATGATGTTGCCCAGACCGACACTATAGTAAGCTGTGACAAGGACTGCAGGCAACAGGGAACTGAGCACCCCACATTGAGAGAAAACATAGAAATCTATGAAAATAAATAGGTTTTTTTTTTTTGTTTTTTTTTTAAACATCAGGCTCTACAATACAAATTAAGTTTTTTAACCAAAAGCAGCTACACTTGTATCTTTTACTGAGGCACACTTAAAGGGTCAGTAAGCTTCAAATGAAGTGCTTGTCAGATCATGGAACAGCAAATATTTATGATGTCAAAATTGATGCAACCGGGCAGTGGCTATGGTGGCAGACTATTCTTGCTGCCTTCCAGTGTGGAAATTGAGAACACACTCAAAGGCGAGAGTGGCAATGAACCAGAATGCTATCATGTACCATTAGAAGAAACCTTGTTAGTGAAGAGAAGGAAACAACAGGGAGTCGAGCACTTCAATGTGTAGCGTGTTAGTGTACATATGTGTGTATGCATTGTGTGTGTGTGTGTGTGTGTGTGTGTGTGTGTGTGTGTGTGTGTGTGTGTGTGTGTAGACATTCACAGGCTAGAGGCTGATGACAGTGCGAATAGAAACGGGCTGTGTTTTTGCTGCTGTGGAGGTAGTTTTAAAGGAGCCTATAGGACGACAACAGTGGGATGACTTACAGCTCTCTGAGCCTATAGGAGGATGGGAAATGATTGACCTATAGGACTGCAGAAATTGTTGAGATAGGTAAATCCAGTTTAGCTCAGGTCTGGTTTTATATTACTGCGAAAAAAAACATTTTGAATGTGGGTCTTATTTTACATTTCCAAGTGTCACAAGTCAGTGGTCACACTGTCCGTCTAAGTTGTAAGTGTAAGCAGCCATTTTAGTACTATATTCCAACTATATCATCACTCTTTTCATTATGACTATTATCATGGCAATCACTGACGATAATACATCATACAGCACCAGGAGTGACAGTGGTTCTGGGATTTGATTCAAATTTTGAAGAAATACTTGCAGTGCGTAATCATGAGCTTGACAGAAATATAAATGCATGGTAAAGTTGTGTATAAATAAAGAACTACTTAAATAAAAAAAAGTAAGTCACATCCCTGCTTGTGTAGAACACTGTCTGGATGAGTTTTTTGTTCTGGATCTCATTTCATATTCTCTGTTGGACACTCCACCTCAGGTTGCCAGTAGAGCTGCTCCTAATGAATGTGAACAACCCATCTAGTGAAAATAGTCTGTGATTTTTGCTGGTTAAAATCTCCCAGCTCTTAGAAGAAGCCAGCTACTCATTCAAACAACTTAGCTATGAAACTCAACAGTGATGTGACTGTAACCCCTCACCACTGGATGCAGCTGTGTCATTCAAGCAGCCCAATCTTCACACATTTATTGTTGTTTGGTTCACTTGTTTTTGGTTTTTCTGCTGTGTTTAATGGAGATTTGTTTTTCTTTCAAGTTGTTTAGCTGACATTTTCTGCTTCTCTCTCTGCACCCACTCCCCACCCTCCTTTCCCTTCAATTACAAATGTATAGAAGCAATAAATGGTGAAAACCTTTCATGGATAAACAAAACCAATGACTATCTCAGTTTCTGTGTTTATTGAGGTCTTGCTGTGACATTGATATCTAGTGCCGAGTGCCATACTTATGAGCAGAAGAAGAAAACAGCTCCACAAACAACAATGGCTAATTCATAGTTTCTTAATGAAGTTATCAAATGGGGCTGGTATCCAACTTCTGACCACCTGAGGTCTCACCTGAGCTCTAAAGAGCTAGAGAAATATAGTGGTAAAAAAGGGAATTACATGAATGTAATGGCTAAACTGTTCCTGCTCAGGTCTTCAAGTGCATATCGATTCACATGTAACCCCAGCTCACCTTTGGTAACAGTCTGCCAAGGTAAATTAATAAATAAATGAATAAATCATTAATATAACGAGCACCTACGATTGCCTTGTCTGTTTCTTAATTAGTTAATGTGGCTAACATTACAACAGATACACAGTGTGCTGCAGGCTTCATATGAATAGAAAATGGTGAGGCATGGTGACAAACTGTGCTGTTCCAGCATTAATCATAGTTGAGTGAGTCACAATAAACATTAGCTGATTTAGTCAATATGAATAAGGACCAAAGTATCTTCATGAGTAGCCAACTGTAATCACTGTACTTCACCTTCTGTAACAAAGCTAAATGCTGTTTTTCAGTGTCTACAGTTATCTTTTAGAAGTATGAAAGTTATCATGTATAACATGATCATTACCAAGCCTTGTGAACTGTGTCTAAGTTTAACTACAACAATGGTCCCTTCGTATATAGTATCTCCAATACCACCACCACCACCACCACCACACTGCTTTTAGTCACTGATAATGATAAATCTCAGTGTTTGTTAAAGAAGAAATTAGATGACGTTTAAAGGTGAAGTGTGTATGATTTAGTGGCATCTTGTGGTGCAGTTGCATATTGCAACTCACTTGGTTCAACCTCTATTTCTAAGCATGAGGGAGAAACTATGGTGGCTGTAAAACATATGTAAAAATGCAAATGGCCCTATCTAGGGCCTGTCCCTGGCTTGTCCCTTCTGGGCTACTGTAGAAACATGGCGGTTCAACTTCACAACCTCAGCAAAAGGCGACCAGCACTGTCTGTAGCTATTAATGGCACATTCAAAGGTAACAAAACATAATGATTCCTATATTCAGGTGATTATTAACTAATGTAGACATATCTATGAATATTATATATTTCATTTATGTCAATAGATCCTCCTAAAGGTTACACACTGGACATTTAACTGTTGATTTAGTGGTGTGACTGGCATAGTAGAAATTTTTTTATCTAAATTAGCTACCTCATCAGTCATTATGAATATACTTGCATGCTAGCAGGACAGAGAAATTTTTGTTTTCCGCCTGCCAGTATGGTGGCTGTTGATGTCATCTGCAGGACCTCAATAGCTTATATCTGAATATCACTGTGAAGTGACTCTATAAACAAACAATAAAAACTAGTTTTGATATATGTACTAAAGACAAAATCAGTACCAAAATGTAGCATGCCATTAAATATTAATTGTATGTCAACTGTCAATAAATATAGGCATTTATACACTGTATAGAAATTCACTTGTACGTATATTCTTTACATAGCTTTTTAGCTTTTTTTTAATGTCACCTCTCTGATTTCTTTGATATATTATTTATTTATTTATTTCAAAAGTGTTGAAAAATGTTTCATTACTACTCAGCCCGTCTCTGTGCTGTTGTAACAAACTAATTCCCCCTATCTTTTTGGGAGAAATTCACCCTGCTTGTTATAAAAGTAGACTGGCAGACTGGAATGGCAAAGGATTGTTTCTGGAAGCTGCTGGACAGAGCAGAAACATGACGCAGCTGCATCCCACCCATGAGGCGTAACGTCAAAAAGAGACAAACACTGTGCCTCTGTTCCTCTCAAAACAGTCTGTCAAATATTTCTTCCCTGGAGCTACACCTCAGCCTGTCCATATATGACAGTTGGAGGAGACAGTTAAAGCTGCAGTAGGTAACTTGAATAAAATTACTTTTTGTCATACTTTCACTATATACTTACAAGAGTGCATGACTTTGGGATCTCAAGGTGATGGTGCTTGCCGACCATGGAATGACACTTAACAATTTTCAATTTAAACAATTCTTGCAAAAGCCATTAGGAACACCCTAATTTTTAATGATCAATTCAATTCAATTCAATTCAATTTTATTTGTATAGCGCCAATTCATAACAGAAGTTATCTCAGGACACTTTTCAAATAGAGTAGGTCTAGACCGAACTCTTTAAAACATTATTTACAGAGACCCAACAGTACCACCATGAGCAAGCACTTGGTGACAAGGGCAAGGAAAAACTGCCTGTTAAAAGGCAGAAACCTAGGACAGATCCTTCGGCTCTAGGTGGGTGGTCGTCTGCCTCGACAGTCTCATGAACTACTGTCAGGATACAGTGAAAATTTCCGCAAATATGAGAATTTGTTATTTTCAAGCTGCTGCACCTTTAAAAGCTGTTAAAAAATGGCAAGAGTGTTCAGGCAGTTTAGATGGGCATCATGGCATCCAACAGATAAAAGAACTGCTCAGCTTCATTCTACAGAGGGTGTGAGGGTGTACAGTAAAAGCAGTCTTGGTTACAAGTTACTCATTTGACTGACCACCTCACATTGTTGTTGCATTTTGAGTGATGGTCAACAGTGTTGACTGTTTCATGTCCTGTGGCACTGCACCTTATAGGGTGTCTACCAATTTCTGCGCCTCTTCAGTGTGTAATACCAGGAGACACCACAAGAGGGAGATGCACTAATCTGTAGCAGCTGGAATGGGAGTGGAAATAACATGACCTGAGATTACAGATTACAACCCCCCCCCCCACACACACACACACAACTATAACCCACATAAGTGTAACAACACAACAGCAGTGTGTAAACTAGAGGCTGTAGAATGACATGGTCAAAGTCTGCCCAGTGGCCTGGTGTGTACGTGTGTGTGTGTGTGTGTGTGTGTGTGTGTGTGTGTGTGTGTGTGTGTGTGTGTGTGTGTGTGCGTGTGTGTGCATGAGGGAGACAGACAGCAATTTCCTGGTGGTCTAAATTCCTCTGACAGAGTGTATAATAATAAATGTGGTAACAGCTATAGTTCCACAGTGGGCTCCACTGATTCAGACAGTCTGTCAGTCTACAGGTGTAACAGTCCTTGGGGTGGTACTTTTGTTTTCTGGCCCCTGTCCGTTGGCTTTTGGCACTCCACCCAACCCTTAGTTACACTCCTAGACGCTGGTGATTGAGGCAAGGCAGGCGCTGGGCTTCTGGAGTTTCTCTGGTTGGGTGCTAGCAGGTTCTGGGATGGTGCGGAAGGAGAAGGGGGGACCGTTGCCGGTAGTGATGCCAAGGTGGCCGGGGCTCAGTGCCAAATTCTGCCGACGGTTGCTCTCCACTATGGATGAGGTGTTAGATGCTAAGCTCTCCCTTGTTCTGCAGAGACACACATTGAGAAATTATAGAACCACAACACCAAAAGAAAGAGCTTGACGCTTACACTTCTGGAGACAAACGAGGAAACAGACAACAGGAATACATACTCTGTATGACAGACATTCATATTTTTGTTCAGCGTTTACATGACAGAGAAAGACATATTTAATGTTTAATTGGATTAGGACACTCACTTCTCTGCAATCTCAACACTCTTAACAGAAATGTGTCCTTCACCAAATGCTTGGTAAAATTCCTATTACTTATTACTTATACACTGATCAAACACTTCAGATTAAGATTAATTAACAGAATTGTCATATTTAATCATGTTTCCCACATTGTTTTTGTTTAAGGTTTGACTGGCACTCTTTTAAATATGTCATCTTATTGTGTCCTCTTCTTCTGCAGTCTTAAATGGCATCCAACTGGAGAACTGGTATCACAACTGTCTTTTGCATATTTTCTGGAAATTTAAAGTTAAAGGAAACCAGATTTACTTACGCTAAATTGTCTGGAGTGATACATCTTCTCTTTAGCTGATCACATCGATTTAAGGAGTTGCATTCTCACAGTTTAACTTTCATTCATATGATATAAATAATTTAAGCTCAATAATAAATCTGTTTGGGAAAATTGCTCCCTAGAATCAAATACTTCCAGTGTGCAATGAATGCAGGTCAGAACCTACCTAATTTCAAATTTTATTCTTAGGCTTTATCAGAGCTTTGAACTCATGGTTAAATCCTGAGATGAAAAATGCCTAGCACAGCATTAAAGAATTGTGAGTTAAACAACAACATCTATTGGAAGATGAAGTTATATTTTTGAGTATTACATTACATTACAAAAAAACAGACATTGTTAGGATCTGTAATTTAACAGTTAGTAGTTTCAAGTTTCAAATTTATTACATGTACATGTACTATGTACATTCAATTTCAATGAAATGCATGGGCCCTGGCTCACTCAGCCCTCGAAAACAACAACTGACAATAATAACTGCTTTTTAGCATTTTGGATCCAGAATCACTTAACTTAAGTTTAATTTCCTTAACCTAAGCAATCTTGTCTAACCCTTTATTGCATTTGATGGACCCATTTTGCACACCTAACTACAATTTGCACACTAGTGTGCATGCAGGTGCATAAAGGTACATACATTTTAGCTTACAAGGACAAAAAATCTACAACTTTTTGCTAACAATGTCACAATGCAAGGCTCTAGAAAAGGAGAGGGTTAAATATGCCTATACACTACTGGGTACAGAAATAAGGGATAATAATGTTTATGTATGCAGTATGTATTATATATGTTCTCACCTTGGAGAGTTGAATCCACTGTCAACAGTAACAGAGCTGGAGTCCATACTGTCTAGTCTAGCAGAGTGGGCTGACTGCTGGTTCTGACTAGGCTCTGGAAGGTTCTCTTTAGCACCAGGGAAGGTGAGGGTTCTTTCAAACCTCCTCTGTAGATCCCTCTCCTTCTCTCTCTCTAATAGCCACTGCATGGTCCCTGCTCCACCTCCTCCCATCCCAACAATGCCTCCTCCAGCCTTCTCGTCCTCTCCTCGATTTTTAGTCCCTCCCTCCTCGAGTTCATCATCATCTGACACGTTGTAGTAGTCGAAGGAGGCCTCTGCAGCACTAGTTGTAGATTCAATCCCCTGAGAGGGAGCAGGTGGTGTGGCCATCAGAGGTTTGGGAGCATCAAAGGCCTCCTGGGAATCGAGTGCATCACAGGACGATGACAGAGTACAGGAGGCGTGGACTGGGGGTTTTCTCAGAGAGCTGTAGCCAGGCAAAGGGAGGCTAGGAGGAGGTTTGAAAAGTGTGTCTTTACTAAAGATCTCTTTACGTTTCTCCTGACCAGAGGAGGCACTGTGGGATGGACGTCCATTAGGAAGGGGGAGGTCAGGGATAGAAAGAGGTATTGGAGGCAGGCTGCCACCCTTAGGTCCCACCTTTGAGTCCTCCTTATTTTCTAGGGGATGTGGTATCTGTCTGTCTGTTTGCCTGTCAGTGTTGCCTAGTTTTAACCCATCATGGCTACTTTTGCTCAGAGCTCCGAGTGGGTTTGTTGCTGTGAGAACAGCCTCAGAACCGGCGCATTGAAAGTAATCATCAGGAGGGACAGATGTGGGCAGTGGTTTGGGTGAGTATGCTGGCAGGCTATCCCTGCTCTTACTCTTCTCTAAGCTCCTGCCACCATCCAACCCCATAGAATCCACAGGCATCTTAGCTGAAGGTGGTGTGGCACGAGAGTAGTGAGAAGAGCTCTGATTGGCTCGCAGGGTGCCATCATCAGTATAGTAACGGCTCCGGTCGTCGTAATAATCAGGTGGTCCGATCAACCCAGCTCCAAGAGGTCCTTTAGAATTGTCCATGGATCTGGAACGTTCCTTGGCCTTGTCACTGCGTTCGTTTCTGGACTTCCTCTCTTGGGTATGGGAGTGTGAGCGGTGGACTTTGGAGTGGTGGGCTGATGGGCCATGGCTTGGCTCAGGGAATGGCATTTCTGTGCGTCGCTTGGCAAGCTCTCCAGACACATCCCACTCAGGGGTGACAGGGAGGTGGGAGGAGTCAAGGATGTTGGGGTTGCTGTGTGCCAGATGAAGCCGGGCTCGCTGCCGCTCCACGGCCAGGGCATGTTCCCTCGGGGACCGAGCCAGCGATGATGAGTAGGCTCTGTAGTCCCTGTCGGCCAGCTCCAAGTGGGAACCGTCGCTCGGCTCACCCCGGGATATCCTTGTCTTGCTATGTGAGCGGCTGAGTTTGGTCTGAGACTGCTTCCTGTGCCTACCACCACTTCTCCTACTCCTAGAGCTGTGATTGGCTGATGATGCTTTGCTCCTCTGGGCACGCTCTTCTTCGAGACGCTTCATGACCGCTGTGTGCCGTGCAAGGTTCTCCACAGTGAGGTCAGGGTTGATTCTGCGGATGATCTCCATCTCTACATGGCGTGGCAGCTGGCTGGGTGCCTCCTCATCACGGAGCGGCCACTCCTCAGGGGGGAACTGTGCAGAGAAGGTAGCCAGCTGTTTGGCCTTATCCTTCTTAAAGCTTAGACGGAACAGCTTTAAACCAAATTTCCGACTTCCTGTGCCACTTCCTCCACCTGCTTGTTTCTCTATTTCTCCAGTTCCTCCTCCTCCTCCCCCTCCCCCACCTCGGTGCTTAGTTAGCGTGTCCGTCTTGAAGGGGAACCCGAGGGTGCTGCGACTTTTTTCTGCGTTACCTCCTGCTTGCTGAGGAGTTGTTTGTGAGGAGTGCGGGGATGAGTATGCCTCCCGGTGGTCTTTGGGGGATCGGCGCTGCAGGGTGGTGTGGTGGCTAGATGGGTCTTCTCCACGATAACTGTTGTAAAAAGAATCCCCGCCTCCTCCACTGTGGTTTTGGCTGGATTTTGTATGTGTTCGATCTCGCACGACTCCAGAGGTGGATGGAGTGATAGTGCCAGAAAGAGGAGAGGTGCACTGTGTCTGCTGATGCTGCTGTTGGTTATGATGTTGCTGCTGTTGGTGTCGGTCAGCGGATCGCTCATCTAAGTGGTACCACTTGGAGCTGGTTCGGACTAGGCTTGGAGTTATAAAGTAAGTCTGAGGGGTTACAATAAAATATCCGTCAGGTGTTGGATAGATCTTCCGCTCACGGACCAGCATGCTTAGTGTATGGTGCAGAACCTCCTCCGTTGGCGTGGGAACACCTAAGCATAATCAGAGACAAAAATCATTCAGAGCAGGGACATTTCACACAGGTCCACATTAGATTTCCCTTTTCATTATGAAAGCAGAATAAACCACAGCATACTGGAATGACTTTGCTGTGATTTATTTAAGAGCGAACAACGCGTTCCACTTGCAGCTTCCTGAGGTTCTCTCAGTCTCCTTTCATTATGTTTAACTCCAAGGAATAAAACTTCAGGGGATTTCTTTATGAAAAAAAAGTTATGATGTGTAGAGTCCAAAAGCTATGCGAAACGAAGAAGTATTAACCTCACACCAGATCTAAATTGCAGGACATAAAAACAAACATTCAATACACTGCACAGTCACAGAAACCGAGAGCACCAGGACCACAAAATAACTAGCTTTTCCCTTTATATTTAACAGTCTGAATAGAGCCTGCATCCCTCCACAGAAATGTATTATGTTTATTTCTATAAACGAATAATCCAACAATTCCACCCACATTATGCAGTGATTGGCCAGTTGTGTGGAGGTGTGAATGCCTTCAAGGAGTGACTGTAATGTGCATGTTGCACACGTCCAATAAGAAGTATTATATAACAGTATGATATGATGTATTATTCACTCCTCCACCCTGTTACACTACAGTAATACCATACTAAACTTCTATAACAGTTTCCATGCCAAGTTCATCATCATCATCATCATCATCATGTGAAAATGGCAAATTTTCACAGTAAGAAAACAGATACAAACTGTTTTTACACCACCATCAAGTGTGTAGAAACCATTTACCTTTAGACAACGTACAAACTATCTTGTAATGAGAGGGCTGACAATGCCTGCTGAGAAAGATGGAGTTTTTATGATTTATAATTTATAATTATAAAAACTAAATTGTCCATTGATGTTCTGATTCTGATTTTTGTTTGGTTAAATTGCATAACTGCTGAACTAAATTGCTGTTATCACAAAGCGTGTTTCATGCAAACTAAAATGGATTGGGTGACTGCATTGCCACTTACCCTAATGAGGATGAGAATGCATACTAACAACCATGAAATGCTAACAGGGTGACCTATGAAAGAAATGCGTAGCTGTGTCCATTGAAAAAATATGCATGAGCTTTTGTTCAAACAGGTCAAAGGAGCGACTGAGAACCTTGAGAGGCTCTTCCTGACAACACCACTGACAGGTAGAAGAAGGGTAATAAAAGATTTGACACTGCAAACCACACACAAAAGAGTGATAAATTGCATTAATGTCCACTCTCAGAGATATCCACTCGGTTTTGAATTGATGTTACTCCAGAGTAGAATTCCTGGTGAGACAAATCTTTGGAAGATGGTGTAAACCATCGAACCTAGAGTGAGGCTGACCATATGGATTTCCTACAGAGACGGGAGGTATATTGATGTTCCATTCTCTCAAGATCCAAAGCAGGGAAATTAGATACTTAACAGCTTAAACTGTCCAAATATACAAGTAAAAGAAAATTGGACCACAGAAGTCGCCTATTATTATGGACTGATTTTTGTGTCAGTAGAAACTGAATCTGAATTGCTCAACTTGAATAATTGCATTGAAAAACTGAATCTGAATAGCATAATTTGAATTTATTAGTTTGAAACTGAATTTGAGCCTCACTAAAAATTCAACTTTTTATGTACTTTCAAATTCAGTTCTCTAAATTCAAATTCAGCTCTCTAAATTCAATTTCAGTTCTCTAAATTCAAATTCAGCTCTCTAAATTCAAATTCAGCCCTCTAAATTCAGATGTTGTAATCTCAACTCAATTTCAAACCACTAGATTACACTTTTAAGGTCACAGACGGGTCAAGGTGTTCAGTAAGAGCAATCAAGTGCAGATGCAAAGAGGTCCTTTTTGGCTAAGCAGCACGTTTGTTTTGAACATTTTCCTAGCGAAAAACATGATTAAAGGAGACATATTATTCCCCTTTTCAAGTTCATAATTGTATTTTTTTAATTTTTTAATTTTTTTGGTTTTGTGTGTGAACCACTTTGTGTCGGACTGTTTTCACAACCTCGGTCAGTACAACACTGGACTGGCTGAAAGACTGTTCCTGAAAGAGGGATTCATACCAACTGTCTGTGGAGAGACGGCAGAGGAAGTGGTTCACACACAAAACCAAAAAAATAAATAAATACAATTATGAACTTGAAAAGGGGAATAATATGTCTCCTTTAAGCATGTTTTTCGCAAGCCAATGTCTACAGGTCCAGGAAATGTTCAAAACAAACGTGCTGCTTAGCCAAAAAGGAGCTCTGTGCATCTGTGCTCTTACTGAACACCTTGACCCGTCTGTGACCTTAAAAGTGTGATCTGGTGGTTTGAAATTGAGTTGAGATTACGACATTTGAATTTAGAGAACTGAAATTGAATTTAGAGAACTGAATTTGAACGTACATAAAAAGTTGAATTTTTAGTGAGGCTCAAATTCAGTTTCAAACTAATAAATTCAAATTCAAATTCAGTTTTTCAATACAGTTATTCAAGTTTAACAATACAAATTCAAATTATGCAATTCAAATTCAGTTTTTATTTTATTATTTGTCTAACCACATCTGACTTAACAGCTCACGTAAAGTGTGCTTAGAATATGTATTTAAACTGCATAAGAAGGGAAATCTATAATCTAATCAAAAAAATTCTATGTTTAGGCACAATGGCATTTAGATCATTAATTTCAAAGTATTGACGAAAAATCTGCAGGCATCATTGAAACAAGTAGGTTTTTTTCAGTCTTGAAAAAGGTAATTTGGTATACAGATTTATGGTACATTTAGACACAGGAGAAGCATAACCCTGATTGACAATGTGACTGAGGATCAGATCGAAACCTTGCATCAAAGTGCTAGTAACCTCTTCCTGGGCGTGCCTCTTTACTGTATGTAAAATACATGAGGCAGAAGAAGACGACACTATGGTAAAGATGATTGACACTTACATATACTTAATATACAATGTTTTAATTACATCTTGTTATCACTGTTGTATGTTATTTGCTTGCTTGATAACTAGGTTGTAGGGGAAAAACAGCATATTCTGCAAAATGGATAGTCACCTTAAGTGGCTCGGGAAGTAACGGGGGGGCGGGGGACATTTACATGCATTTATGTAACAAATTCATGTATTTTTATGTACTATATAATCATATTGTATGTGGATTGTTCAGCAAGACGTGAAAGATTTGAAGAATTTGTAACATTCTGTCATCTGGAAACTTTTAAGAGAATGCATTTTTTCTGAGCGACGAGTCACTCAAAGGGGGGAATGTACATGTGTGTACTTGTGAACATGAAGCAAATTATATTATGTTATTCCATGTTTATTTTTACATGCAAACCGTATAGTATTTTATGTTCACGTATGTTCATCCTCATGTATTCACACCCTGGCTGTCTCACCTAAGTTAGGAGAATTGTTATACATTTTGCCATGACCATTTTGCCATCCTGTCCCCAAAAAAGCAAGGACCACAGGACTCAATGACTATAGACCTGTTGCCCTCACCTCTGTGGTCATGAAGTCTTTTGAGCGCCTTGTGCTTTCCCACCTGAAAGCCATAATGGACCCACTCCTGGACCCCCTGCAGTTTGCCTACAGAGCCAACAGGATGCAGTAAACATGGCCCTGCACTTCACCCTCCAGCATCTGGACTCCCCAGGAACCTATGCCAGGATCCTGTTTGTGGACTTCAGCTCTGCGTTTAACACCATCATCCCAGCTCTGTTACAGGACAAGCTCTCCCAGCTCACTGTGCCTGATTCCACCTGCAGGTGGATCACAGACTTCCTGTCTGACAGGAAGCAGCAGGTGAAGCTGGGGAAAAATGTCTCTGACTCCCAGACCATCAGCACCGGATCCCCCCAAGGCTGCGTTCTTTCTCCTCTGCTCTTCTCCCTGTACACCAACAGCTGCACCTCCAGTCACCAGTCCGTCAGGCTCCTTGCAGATGACACCTCCCTCATTGGGCTCATCTCTGATGGAGATGAGTCCGCCTACAGATGGGAAATTGACCAACTGGTGACCTGGTGCAGATGCAGGACCTTAAGTGGGAGGTGAACATCAGCTCCCTCACCAAGAAAGCCCAGCAGAGGATGTACTTCCTGCGGCAGCTGAGGAATCTGGTACACTGCTGCCACTGCCAAGGAAAAGGGCAGACTGCAGCGTAACATTCAATCTGCTGAGAAGGTGATCAGCTGCAATCTGCCATCCCTCCAGGACCTGTACGCCTCTAGGACACTGAGGCGTGCAGGCAAGATTGTGGCTGACCCCTCCGACCCCGGTCACAAACTCTTTGAGAAACTTCCCTCTGGCAGGACCAAAACCTCACACCACAAAAACAGTTTCTTCCCATCTGCAGCTGGCCTCATTAACAAGGCCCGGTACCCCCTTTGTCACTGACTCTTATACCCACCCTGTATATACAGTATGCATTACATTAATGCACTCCTGTCTTCTGCACAGTTTTCTTTTCTTATCCTTCTTATCTTCATTTATTTATAGTAGTAGTACTTTATTTTTCTGTGTGATTTTTGTGTGATTTGTATATTGGTATATTTTATGCACCAATTGCACCAGGACAGTCCTCATAGGCGTAAAAACCTACTTGGCAATAAACATAATTCTGATTGTGATTCTGATGACTAAGCACATTTCAAAGATCAAGGCTGTCTCGGGGAGGGCTGGGCATCAGATGTGCTATGACTGTTGTTTATCAGACATTAGCCGTCACCAGTAGACATCCTTGGAAAAAAGGCAACATTCTTTGGGAAAGAGGCATATGATAGAGTGATTTTCTTTGTTCAAGTCAGTTGTATCTTGGGACAACTTGGTTTGCTTGTATCCAGTATGAAGCAAATAAATCTTGTACGTGGAGTGAAACTGTCAATTATTTATTTTTTTACTGTATGCATTCTGAAGCAGCTGTTTACCTGTGAATGACAGAGGACAATGTGTACATTTCATTTTTAGTTTACAAAAAGTTCCATC